CGAAGTAGTTCCAGCCCATTAAGCCTCCGTCGGAGTAGTTCCAGCCCATAAAGTCTCTGTGTCACATAATTCCTACCCTGTCACATGAATCATGACCTAAGAATGTGGTTCGATTTCTTAGGAGCACATGTCACAACCAATTCCTGTTCTATTTACAAGTGCGCACAGCTATTGGCGTTGATAATTTATGGTTGGGGTAACTGCATATACGGTTCGCGTTCTTACACCTGGCCGTGTTTAACAGAATGCGCAGTGGTCGTGTTGACTGAGTGAGACAAGGACTGTAGGATGTACATGGGTTGTGACACGATCTTAGTTTGTAAACCTCCATCTCTCACACAGTGCAGCTGCAATCACTACCTCGCTACTTCTCACTTACCCTTACGCGCAACCCAGAGGTTAGGTCTAGAAACACGGCCTTTAGTATTTGTAATCGTTGCCTATGGAAGTGGTTAAGCAACAGAGAACCTATTGTTGAGTTCCCACAGCAACGAATGCGCAACAATAGGGCGTCCACTGCTAGACAATGCATGGGTAGACATGCCTGACAACAAAACATGATATCCATTGCCGAGCAGCAATGTGTTTTCTGTGGTGTTCGAATCATCGCCCGGTGACCGACTCTCCCGATAAAATATAGTTATTGTTAGTTATTAGAGAGGGTGGGTTTCCCCATGCACTTAGACCTGTATTGGTCCATTGTGCTTCCCTCTATGATATTCTACCAGTCTCTATATCCTACCGGTACTGGTGCTTACCATCAGTCCCGCCCAGCCAGCGAGACCGGCTCTACTAGCTGAGAGGTATCTATAATGCTTCCCCCATCTACCAGAGGTATTAGAGACTGCTGTTGGGCGGGAAACGTCCGTTAATTTGGCTCAGTGACCTCCTTTGGATATATGAGGTGCTTTTACGTGCCGTAAAGCTACGACACGGGACCCACGGCTTAAAGTTCCTCCCGGAGGACTTGTTCCCTGAATTTTTCCGCCCTTAAAAATTCGACGACCTCCGCCGGGTATTTGAACCCGCGTACTACGAGTCATGAGGTGGGAACGTTACCTCTAGACTACGGAGGCTGCTCGATAAAATATGAGTTATAATTGGTGTCAATTAATATGATACGTTCAATCCCTGTTCCTAATTGTTCTGTTTACCTTGTCTGTTAAGTTTAAATAAACTAATGAAATGGTGGCGACATCTTCCTAAAATAAAACACAGCGGAACCTACATAAAAATAAGGTACGTAAATACCAAGCCCACAAATCTTGCATAAATCATAAAATTTAAGCCTACTTTAAATAGCTGATAACAAAGGCGAAATTAGTGTGACTCACCGAGGAAATAAATGCTTTAAATTGCCAAATGGGCAGATTCGTAATATCGCCCACAAAACTTAAGCCTACTTCAAATAACAGATAACAAAACTCACTTAGTGTGACTGAACGGAAATATGAATGATTTTAAGTATAAGGTAAAATAAAAGCAACGCTATCCCTGTAACAGGCCGTGGAGGTCCATAGGGCCGTGATACGTCGAGGCTACCACATTCTCTAGACAGCCGGCTCACAGATAGCGGTGAGGTTGCCGGCCTTACTCGCCGGCCGCCCTTTACTACCCAGTAAAATTCCTGATACTCATTTCTGTTATAGGCTGGGCCGATCCCAGGGCCATAGTGTGGTTGGAAGGTTTAGATCAATTAAAAAGTATAATGAAAAGATCGGGAATCAAACCCGCGACCTTCCGGCTTGTAGCATAGTGCCTCAACGGACTATACTACTACGTGCCCCTTTAAACTATAAGACTAGACATAAATAGACTCATTCGTACTGTCTTCCGCAACTCGTTACAGCTGCTAGAATAAAGGGTAAAGTGTTCAGTTGGACCATCTGCCTCTTCTATTGGATGGCATTAACATCTCTAAAAATACAGATGTTTAGGTTCAGGGAAGATGTTGACCCTTGCCAACCACAATGTGGAAAAGCATCTTATATCGGAAAGGGAATTCCTGGTGTTAATTTCACACGTGGGCTTCCCAACCACAGACCGCATTGCGAATTGAGCAGCGCTGCAGTCAGAATCTTCCTCGTTTTCAGTACTCAGGTTCTTACAAAATGGCGATTAAATTATTTGGTATGGCCTGTACTGAACCTCACAAAAGGGAACGTCTTTATGTTTCTATCGGCCGGAGCGAACAACTGAATTATATAATTATTTACACAGGGTACCCCTCCAGAAACCGGGATAGTAGAGTAGATATACCGACTGGCTAAGGGCTAGGCAACCAAGGGGTCGGCGTTCGAGTCCCGGTAGTTTCAAGAATTTTCCCATCTCTACAGCGTCCAAACCGGCTCTGGGGCCCACCCAACCTCTTATCCAATGGATACCAGGTAGAACGGCAGGGGCATGAAGCTGACCACTTACCTCCAACTAGTGCCAAGACGAAGAAAATATGGATCTATACATCCACTCCCCCATACACCTTCGTGGTGTAGTGCTTAATTAGTTAAGCACAGGGAGAAATTTACCGTTTTACTTTTTTGCAATTAAGTATATCAAGATATCTGGCTCAACACGGACACAAATTTTAAACAAAAGAAACGTCAGTGCCGGCAGTGGTACGCGGGACTCATTTTGACGAACGGATTCTGGACGGACGGATTGTCGCTACAGGCACTTAAGCGTAATTCTACACAGCTCTTGACCACAAAAAGACAGAGGACATTACTACGGAAATTCTAGAGGTTTAAGCACAATGCGAAGCATACAGGCACCAACTACTTAAGAATTCTGTTAACAGCGTCGAAATAGGTGTGAAGGTGATGAACTGATGAGTAATGAGTATAGGGGGTCAGAAGGTCGCGCCATAGCTCAAGTGGTTGGTCGCTAGCTTCTCACCGCGGCAGCCCGGGTTCGATCCCGGGTCTGGTCAAGTGGCATTTGTGTTGGACAAAGTGGCGCTGGGGCAGGTTTCTCCGAGTACTTCGGTTTCCCCTGCAAATCTTCATTCCACCAATTGCTCCATCAACGTAATAACCCGGGGCAGGTACAATAGGCCAATCAGTGGCCGCAGTGCCGAGTGGACCCAGTTGGACTCCACCCCACCCCCCAACTAAGCGAATAGGGGATCAAAAAGGAACCACCCTTAACCTATTTCAGTGTACTGCTACATTCGCCTCATTGCATTCAGGAGAAACAACGAGAACATGAGACAATGCAGCGGCAAAGGTTCGCACCCCGTCCTTTCGGAATAGAGTGCAAGCCACAGAACTGGATGTGAGACGGAAGGGTCTCATGGTAGTAATTATGAATATTGGAGCGCGCCATAGCTCAAGCGGTTAGTCGCTGGCTTCCCATCGCGGCGGCCCGGTTTCGATCCTGGGTCTGGTCAAGTGGGATTTGTGGTGGACAAAGCGGCGCTGGGGCAGGTTTTCTCCGAGTACTTCGGTTTCCCCTGCCAATCTTCATTCCACCAATTGCTCCACAATCACCCTCATCTATCATCTGGGGCTGGTACAATTGTCCACAAGTGGCCGCAGCACAAGGGACTTAGTCCCACACCACTAGTAATAAGAAAAATTATGAATATTATTGTCTTCTGGGATGTGACACCGTGCAGCCTGATTGAGATTCAGCAACGTTTCGGATTAATCTGCCGCATCCTTCCCCAGGGTAGATGGAAATCTAAATATCTACCGCAATATACGGGGTCATATCCAGGGAACAGTAGTATTCACCAAACCACCTGTTTGGAACATCATCCGTATAAGTAGGAAGAAGGTAAATTTGTCCCTGTGCTTAATTTTTTCGGCACCACGCCATGAATACTTAAGGAGGGTGGAGGTATAGCTCCACATTTTCTTGACCTCAGCACTATATGGAGGGCAGTAGTCAGCTTCACGCACCGGCAGCTTTACCCCCGTGAAAAGAGTACCCGGTATCCATTGGATATGAGGATGGGTGGGCCCAATAGCCGGTCTGGACGCTGTGGAGAACAGAAAAATCTTTTGTCTCTGCCGGAATTCAAGCCCTGGCTCTCCAGAGTTCGATACACCAGTTGAGCTATCCCAGCTCCTGAATATCATCTGTATCGTATAATTACAGTAAACCCTCTGTAATCCGGTTACAGTTAATCCGGATCGAAATATGAAAAATTCTGTTCACGTTTGAATACTCGTATATACTTTAAAAAACCCATTAAAGATTAAGGAGCAAGAGGGATTAGGGCAAGATGACTTTCAGATTCTGTTGAGGGCAGCTGGAGAGGCCGAAACCTCGCAAGGAAATATCCAAAATTTGCTTGACCTAGGCGAATTAGACCCATCAGTTTCAGTTAGATTCTAAATGGTTCAGATGATGGTCTAGAATACTCAAAATTACTTGGTTTTTGGACTTTGTCCACCATCCGCTATTCTAGAAACTGCAAAACGCAACGTTTCGGAAACTGGATATATTTCCATCCTCAGGTAAATGGGGGGGAGAATACACTTACTCAGTTGGGTCCCTTAGAAAGAGAACTGAGGTTAGCTGTTTCTAAGGAACCCAACTGAGTAGGGTCCCCTCCCCCCACCTCACCTGAGGACGGAAACAGATCCATTTTCCGAAACGATGTGCTCCCTAGTTTCTAGAATACCGGACGATGGACTAAGTCCGAAAACCCAATAACCCTGGATTTCAGCTCCTTCTATTTTTATACTTTTTAAATAAAGGCTCTAAATTAATATTTTGTTTATTTATTTCCATATGTGCCTTCACGGCCTGTTACAGGGAGAGCTTTACCTTCTTTTACTACCTATATTATTAATTTCCCCATGTATTTCTTTCCTAAGTTTTTTTTTTCCTTCCTTTAGGGGTATCCTTTGCTTCAGTCCGGTTGGCCTCTCCCCCTCCCTTCAATTAATCAAGATTGGCGAAAGTTTGCTATAATGTCCCGCGTTCTAAACTGACTTGTAATCCAATTTCATGCGGTTTACTTGCACAGACAGAGAGACACGGCTACTTACCGATAAGTCTAGACCACTGGGCGGACGGTCTCCACTCGGGGAACTGTTTGGGGAAAAGGTCACGGTTCCAGTGCGTCTCCAGCCGAAGCGTGTATATAGCAAGGCGATCCTGGTCACACCGCTCCGTGCCTACCCGCAACGCCTCGGCGACAAGTATGCTCCACAATGCACACCACAGCCACATCTCGCAGGGACCTACAGCAATGCGACACCCACTGCTATTGTTCATATGGCAATAATAAACCAAATAATACAGCAAACTTGGTTTCAATATTGATCTTCTGGGTCATAACGTTGTCCACATTAGGTTCGGAGAGTGGGCCAAACAAGAAACAAGCTTCTGCTGGATTCTTGCTTGGCTTACACTTCGACTCTGGAGATAGAAACGATATGTTCCTCCGAAACGTCGTGTTCTCTGCGAAATAATGGTACCACTAGCCAGAAGACAAACATATTTTTCGCGGTCACAGCTATAGCAACCTCAAATCCAGCCGAACTAAGATTGAAATAAGAGAGATAACCTGCTGTGAAGATGAGATTGCAGTTTGTTGTGGCGGTCAATATTATGACGTGAAGTCGTGTAGCTTGATATATAAGTACCAACGTTTTGGAGGAAGCTGCGGCCATATTCAGAGTGGAAGATAAAAGTAGTATGCTCTCCTAACAATTTTGTATGCATCTACACGGTGACAACCCAGAACACTACTACTCCGTGGCCTGTAGTCCGCACGCGAACTATACTGACCGAGCGACCGCCGCTTGCCGGCGAAGTTAGTGCCAACTTTAGCGGATAGAGAGTGTCGCGTGGTCAGCGCAAAGTAACCCCACGGCCGTTAATCTCGGTTTTCTAGCCCGGATATTGATCTCCACATACATGAAAATATAAAAATTACGATGTATAATGAATTTACACTGAGGTGTTCCGGGTTACGATACCTTGTAGTCTGGTAGGTGGTTACAGGTGTCCAGTCAAGCTATTTTTTAATTTCATGGGTTAGGGTGAGACTTGAGTCCACTTAGCACGTCGGACACTCTTTGGCCTATTGTACCAACCCCGGGTGATATATGATGATGAATGTGGAGCAGTTGGTGGGATGAGAATTGGTAAGGGAAACCGAAGTATTCGAGGAAAGCCTACCCCAGTGCCACTTCGTCCACCACAAATCCAACCTAGACTGAACTGGGAATGTACCCGGGCCACTGCAGTTCAGTTCAGCTTCCTAGTAGAGAACACACTGGTTAAACACTTCCAGCAATTATCACCGCTATATTTCTGGATAAATTATTGAGTTTCTAAGGAACAGTCGTCTTCATGTTCAAAGGAACTGTTAGTAACCACGTAACAGAATAGACGGTGCCATGACTCAGCAGACAATAATGTAAACCTTTAACGTTAACAAAACCTCAAATCCCATGTTCAGTAAACGACTTATTCCTCCAGTTTCTGTTCAGATGTAAGATTTGAGGCTTTCACGGCGGTGACTATGAAGAAAGCAGTCTTCTGGGATTTGGCACCGTGTATATGTGGTGTTAACCGACGTTTCGGAGGAACGTATCGCCTCCATCTTCAGGGTAGAAGAAAAAAATAAGAAATCTGCAGATTTCGCTTGCAGATTTCTTATATTTTTCTTCTACCCTGAAGATGGAGGCGATACGTTCCTCCGAAACGTCGGTTAACACCACATATACACGGTGCCAAATCCCAGAAGACTGCTTTCTTCTGTTCAGATGTTCAATTGTGTAGGCAGACGCTACTAAGAACCACAAATGAATGTATAGATTGATGTTTCATTTCTGCGCAAAGGGAAGGATATGGTTTGAGGGTGATGAAGAACAGGAACACATCTGAACACAAGCAAGATGAAATGAAAGGAAAAAGGAAATAGAATATTTTGAGATTTTAAGTTTTAACAGAGGCTTATAAAGAATACTGTCATGTGGGATGCAATACAATGTAGTCTTGTAATAGTTCGCAGACGTTTCAGAGGAATTTACTGCCTCCACCTTCAGGGTTGAAGAATAAGCCAAGCAAGAAGCTCATCGTCGTTTCGGATAAATTTCAGAGAAAGTTTACAGGACTACCCGGTGCCAATCCAGAGGACAGTACTCTTTATAACATGAGTTTAATAATTCGTGGTCTCAGCAAATATTAATAGTCTAATCAAATACGAGTATTTCAATATGGGCTGGACATGTAACTCGCATAATGGGGTGATAAATTCATACAGAATTGCAGATGTGGGAAGTGCCCACATTCAAGCAAATGTGACAACGCAAGCGTCATTGCTTAGCAACGACGAGTAAACAACGGTTGCTAGGCAAAAGCGAGTAAACAGCGGTTGCTAGGGAACTTATAAACACGGCGTCCGGCAACAGCAGTACCTATTACGTAACCGTTTTCCATATGTCCGACTCTAGGTTATATAAGAAGACACATTGAGTGGGAGCAACAGTTACGGTTATAGATTCTACAGTTCACTATTGTTATTATCCGTCTGTGTATACTGTGCAGCTGCAATAAATCCTATAGGACAGTCCAACTAGTGGTTGTCTCTATATACGACATCCCACACAGTAGTTAAACCTCAAGTGAGAACATTTGAGAAAAGAAATTGCAAACAGAAGGATATTAAAGTGGTTCTAAAAGAAATGGGGTTTGAGGTTGTGAACTAGATTAATCTGATTCAGCATAGCGTCCAGTTGCAGGCTGTTGCAGAGATGGTAATGAACTTTCCCGCTTTGTAAAAGAAAAGGAATATTGTTTAGTAGGTTAGTAAATTAGTAGCTTTTCAATGACTCTGCTCCACAAAGTTAGCTAATCGTGTCCTTATTTCCAGCCTGGTACTGAAAAGCCCTGTAATTTTGTACAGCGCCATTCTTTCCCGAAGGCAACTTATCATTTAACTACAACTTCTTAATTTGCTCTAAGTACCACTGTATATTCAGACTTGCAGAGTGGAAATGACTGTAATGTTAGAGGTTGTTAAAGGGTATGCGAGCAGGTGGCGGGAAGCCAAGAACCTGCACCCCCCTCAGATTTTTGGAAGAAAATAAAAATTAAATAAATGAGGAAGTACACCAATTCTCTCTCTCTATGGCTCTATAGCCCCTTGGACCTTGGCCGCTTTTCAGTTTCTTAATCCTATATAAGGTCTGTAGGACTCATTGGAGAGGGGATCAGACCGTCTCAAGGCCACTACCTACACACAGAAGAACACAAACAGAATAAACGCACACAGACATCCATGTCTCGAGCGGTATTCGAACCCACGATCCCAGTGTTCGAACGGGCGAAAACGGTTCATGCCTTAGCCAGCGAGTCTACTGTGATCGGTATATACCAGTTATTAATAAAAAACAAAAAACTCCGTGGCGGTGTCACGTGGTCAGCGCAACGGATCCCCACGTCCGTTAATCTTGGTTTCCTAGACCGGAGCCGCTTTTCCTTGAAATAGCTCCTCAATTATCCTCACGAAGCTGACTTCACCCCGTTCCAGACACACTACTTCTCAGAAAAAATGGTAGCGCCGGGAATCGAACCCGGGACCTCTGGATCTGTACGCAAGAACTCTGACCACTAGGCCACAGAGGCGGTCACCAATTATTAATATCAAAATTAAAATTATTTTCTAAAAATAAGTATTTTTTTTATTGCTAGTGGGGTGGGACTAAGTCCCTTGTACTGCGGCCACTTCTGGCCTATCGTACCAGCCCCAGATGATAGGTGAAGATGATTGTGGAGCAATTGGTGGAATGAAGATTGGCAGGGGAAACCGAAGTACTCGGAGAAAACCTGCCCCAGCGCCACTTTGTCCACCACAAATCCCACTTGACCAGACCCGGGATCGAACCCGGGCCGC